CCAACACCAGCAGCACCACACAACCGCACAAAATACCAGCAAACAACTTGCGCAATGCAATCTTCACCATGTGTGTTCTTGTATGGGTTCTGTCCTGTTTTCCAACATGCTGAAAGAGACACATACAGTAGATTATGTTGGTCAAAGTTTTCAATAAGGTTGGTTGGTACGGTAAAACTTGTTTGTTTTCTTTGTAAATTCTGGTGGTGGAAAATGCAGTTCGAATATGGATGTGTTTGGATTGTTTTTTTTTCATCACTCACTTCACCACCAACACCAGCAGCACCACACAACCGCACAAAATGCCAGCAAACAACTTGCGCAATGCAATTTTCACCATGTTTGTTCTTGCGTGGGTTCTGTCCCGTTTTCCAACATGCTGAAAGAGACACATGCAGTAGATTGTGTTGGCCAAAGTTTTCAATAAGGTCGGTTGGTACGGTAAAATTTGTTTGTTTTCTTTGTGAATTCTGGTGGTGAAAAGTGCAGTTATAATATGGATAGGTTTGGATGTTTTTTTTCCATCACTCACTTCGCAACCAACAAGCAGCACCACACAACCGCACAAAATACTAGCAAACAACTTGCGCAATGCAATTTTCACCATGCTTGTTCTTGCATGGGTTCTGTCCTGTTTTCCAACATGCTGAAAGAGACACATACAGCAGATTATGTTGGCCAAAGTTTTCCCGAGGTTGGCTGGTACTTTAAAACTTGTTTGTTTTCTTTGTGAACTCTTGTGGTGAAAAGTGCAGTTAGAATATGGATAGGTTTGGATGGTTTTTTTCCCTCACTCACTTCGCAACAAACAAGCAGCACCACACAACCGCACAAAATGCCAGCAAACAACTTGCGCAATGCAGTTTTGACCATATTTGTTCTTGCATGGATCCTGTCCTGTTTTCGAACGTGGTGACAGAAACGCGTACAGTAGACGATGTTGGTCAAGGCTTTCACGAGGTCGGTCGATACGTTAAAACTTGTTTGTACTCTTTGTGAATTCCGGTGGTGAAAAGTGCAGTTAGAATATGGATAGGTTTGGATTTTTTTTGCATCACTCACTTCGCAACCAACACCAGCAGCACCACACAACCGCACAAAATACCAGCAAACAACTTGCGCAATGCAATCTTCACCATGTGTGTTCTTGTATGGGTTCTGTCCTGTTTTCCAACATGCTGAAAGATACACCTACAGCAGATTATGTTGGCCAAAGTTTTCCCGAGGTCGGTTGCTACGGTAAAACTTGTTTGTTTTCTTTTTGAACTCTGGTGGTGAAAAGTGCAGTTAGAATATGGATAGGTTTGGATGGTTTTTTCCCTCACTTACTTCGCAACCAACACCAGCAGCACCACACAACCGCACAAAATACCAGCAACCAACTTGCGCAATGCAATTTTCACCATGTTTGTTCTTGCATGGGTTCTGTCCCGTTTTCCAACATGCTGAAAGAGACACATGCAGTAGATTGTGTTGGCCAAAGTTTTCAATAAGGTCGGTTGGTACGGTAAAATTTGTTTGTTTTCTTTGTGAATATGTTCATATTCTATCTGTGGTGGTTTTTTTTCGGGAAATTCTAACTGTCGTAAAAAAAATAATCCTGGATTTTTTAGGTTAAAAGGAAATCCATTGATTCCAAATTCTAACTGCTGGTCTCCCACTGTAAAGGCGTCTGTGTGTAAAAGCTTCTGTGTGTAGAATCTTCTGTGGGTAAAAGTGTCTCTGTGTAAAAGCGTCTGTGTGTAAAAGCTCCTGTGTGTAAAAACTTCTGTGTGTAAAAGTGTCTGTGTGTAAAAGCGTCTGTGTGTAAAAGCATGTGTGTGTAAAAGCTTCTGTGTGTAAAAGTGTCTGTGTGAAAAAAGCTTCCGTGCGTAAAAGCTTGTGTGTGTATAATCTTCTGTGGGTAAAAGCGTCTGTGTGTAAGAGTGTCTGTGTGTAAATGCTTCTGTGTGTAAAAGCGGCTGTGTGTCAAAGCGTCTGTGTGTAAAAGCGTCTGTGTGTAAATGCTTCTGTGTGTAAAAGCATGCTGTGTGTCAAAGCTTCTGTGTGTAAAAGCGTCTGTGTGTAAAAGCTTCTGTGTGCAAAAGTGTCTGAGTGTATGGAAAAAATATTCTGTACGGAAAAGCTTTTGTGTGTGTAAAAGCTGCTATATGTAAAAGCTTCTGTGTGTAAAAGCTTCTGTGTGCAAAAGCGTCTGCATGTAAAAAAACTTCTGTGTGTAAAAGCTTCGGTGTGTAAAAGCTTCTGTCTGTAAAAGCTTCTGTGTGTAAAAGCTTCTGTGCGTAAAAGCATCTGTGTGTAAAAGCTTCTGTGTGCAGAATCTTCTGTGGGTAAAAGTGTCTGTGTAAAAGTGTCTGTGTGTAAAAAGCTTCGGTGTGTAAAAGCATGTGTGTGTAAAAGCTTCTGTGTGTAAAAGCGTCTGTGTGTAAAAGCGTCTGTCTGTAAAAGCTTCTGTGTGTAAAAGCTTCTGTGTGTAAAAGTTTCTGTGAAAAAACGTCTGTGTAAAAGCGTCTGTGTGTATAAGCTCCTGTGTGTAAAAGCTTCTGTGTGTGTAAAAGCTTTTGTGTGTAAAAGCGTCTGTGCGTAAAAGCTTCTGTGTGTGTGTGGACTCTTCTGTGTGCAAAAGTGTCTGTGTGTAAAAGTGTCTGTGTGTCAAAGCGTCTGTGTGTAAAAATGTCTGAGTGTAAAAGCGTCTGTGTGTAAAAGCGTCTGTGTGTAAAAGCTTCTGTGTGTAAAAGACTCTGTGTAGTACCTTTTGTGTGTGAAAGTGTCTGTGTGTAAAAGTGCCTGTGTGTAAAAACTTCTGTGTGTAAAAGCTTCTGTGTGTGTATAAGCTTCTGTGGGTAAAAGTGCCTGTGTGTAAGGGTGTCTGTGTGTAAATGCTTCTGTGTGTAAAAGCGGCTGTGTGTAAAAGCGTCTGTGTGTAAAAGCGTCTGTGTGTAAAAGCGCCTGCGTGTAAAAGTGTCTGAGTGTAAAAAGCTTCTGTGCGTAAAAGCTTCTATGTGTAAAAAGCTTTTGCGTGCAAAAGCGTCTGTGTGTCAAAGCGTCTGTGTGTAAAGCGTCTGTGTGTAAATGCTTCTGTGTGTAAAAGCATGCTGTGTGTCAAAGCTTCTGTGTGTAAAAGCGTCTGTGTGTAAAAGCTTCTGTGTGCAAAAGTGTCTGAGTGTATGGAAAAAATATTCTGTGCGGAAAAGCTTTTGTGTGTGTAAAAGCTGCTATATGTAAAAGCTTCTGTGTGTAAAAGCTTCTGTGTGTAAAAGCTTTTGTGTGTAAAAGTGTTTGTGCGTAAAATCTTCTGTGTGTAAATGTTTTTGTGTGTACAAACTTCTGTGTGTAAAAGCTTCTGTTTGTAGAAGCTGCTGTGTGTGTGTGTGGGTGTGTGTGTGTGCGTGTCTGTGTGTATATATGTGTAAACATGTTTCTCTGCGTGTGTCTGTGTTTGAGAGCCTATCAGCATATCTGTATGTTTGTATTTTTTACATCTTCAATAACCTTCTATACAGCATACCTTGTCTGTCTCTTGCAACTAAAACCCTGACATCTTCACAGCTTCTTATCTTGACATCTACACATAATGAACATATTCACATGATCTCAAGTAACATTCTCATGAACATATTCATGCAAGTCTTTGGCATCTGCAAATCATACAACTACATAACACATCTGAGTACCTATACACCTACTCGCTCTCGGGCCAACCATCGTCTAGTTTAATGTTTACATATATCTACATGTTCGGATGTCTCAGAGTCCCTATAGTTGTGTGTAAATAAATAAAGGGAGAAACTATGAAATTGTAAAAACATGTGTAGAGTCAAATTGTAAGTGGCAAAAAGCATGTAAAGTATGATTGCATTAGAAAGTGAAAAACATGTGAAAACAATTATTTCGCGTTTCAGCTGATGTACAGTAATTGCTTTGGCAGTCAAAATATTAATTAGTGAAGTGATTATGATAACAAACTAAAAGCAAGCTGTGGATAGTCGCGAATTATAATGGTCAATGGTGATTCGAAATGCAGCTTTAGTGGTGTTGGTGATGGTGCTTGTGCTACAGCTGCTGCTGTCATCCTTGTCACTGTCGGTTTCGCTCGCTGTTGTGGTTGCTTTCGTTGCTTGCGGGTGTTCTTACAATTGCTATGATCATTGTTGCTTTTGTTGTGTTCTTCCTGTTGCGGTGGTGGCAATCGTGATGGTGGCGGCGGTGATGGTTGGCGTTGCATTCGTTGTTGGTGCTATTGCTGTAGTTCTTGTTGCATCTCGGCTGCAACAGTCGCTAGTCTGTCTGAACTGCATGATACCTGTATCAATCCAAGAAAAATCAAATGCAAGTGCATTTTGCCACACGATTACGATTAGTACGCAGCCGGAACAAACTCAAGTTGATGGACGCATGCACAATTCTGACAGAAAGAAATTATGAACCACTGCTTCGAAAAAAATGGAAAAGCTAAGAAACTGACATCGATGTCTTTCAGGCAATACCCAGATTACCCAGTATCTGCCAAGATGCCAGAATGATGTGCTAGACAGAAGCTTCCAATACATTGCGGCACGTTTGCTGCCAGTCTTTGGGCGCAAATTGACATCAGCCGCGTGGAACTTCTGGCAGGCTGGAGGGGGGCGTGTTACGTCATGCAGGATCTTGGTGTTGACTGGACAACTACTGATGGTCGCTGACAGGATGCTTGGTGACAAGTGTTTCGAGCTTGCAGCTTGGTGCACACGAACCGCAGCCCTGCCAGAACTAGCTGAGTAGAAAGCCCGGGTGGAACTGATAGTTTCCTACCAGACTTTGCTCCAGGGTGGTCCTGCACTGCTGGTGTTCGTCTTGCCGTGACTAGACTAGAGTCATCATGTGCAAGAAGCTGCCACGCAATCGCACCAGAGATCTCTATCATACTCTATGACTCTATTGAAGATGCAGTCAGTTGCCAAGAAGGATCCGGATGGCTTCCAAAACTGTCAAAGAACAACCTCACTGACCACGCACTTCTT